TACTCCCCCGTCTCGTCGCTCTTGATCGAGAACGACCCGCCGCCATTTTGCGTGTTGCCTTCCGTGTCGCAGATGTCGAGGATCTCCTTCAACGAGATCGCGGTCTCCGTCGGGGATTGGAGCTGCTCCACTTGTCGCAGGACGACGTTCACGTCGTGGTAGCCGCCTGCGCCCTTGGAGGGACTCATCATGTTGAGCTGCTTACAAGCTTGAATCACCAGCAGTCGGATCGTCACGGGTCGCGAGGTGTGCGCGCGATGATGCACGGCGGGCCCGAACGCATTGCTAGACCATCCGCTCCCTAGTTATCATGTCAGCATATACTCACGACACGCACACATTCTTCGAAACATACCAGGTCCCGTTCCCCATGTCGGACCCCCGGGGAAGGGCGAGGTGCCGAAAGGTATTTGTGACCCCCACGTACCCCCAAGGCTAGGGCTGACCGGGAAAGCACTGTGCTTGGCAACTGTGACATCAATCAGCATACGAGAAGAACATCAACCCACTAGGATACGTACTGAGAGGGTCTGGGAACAGCGACGGGGCCGCAAAGCTAGCTCGAGTTGGCCCGGGCAGGGAACCCGGAAGTGTTGCCCCTGGAAGTGACTGGGACAGGTGCGACGCGAACGGAATGTCCGTATCGTCTAGGAGCGCACTGCTGCCAAGCTGCGCACTCAGATCGTCCACATCATGCTGACTGCGACGGGGATTGTTCGGGTCTTGTTGCGTGCTGGAAGGGCGTTTGATGGGGCTGGGACGGGTGATAGGAGACGGTTGGGCATGCGCTTCAAGAGGTGATCGCTCAAACGAGCTGGACGGCTGTCGGGAGTGAGCATGCGACAGTCCGCTCGCCTGCCCAGAGAATGCACTGGCCATGGGCTGTGGACTATGGAATGGCAGTCCGTGCCCGGGGTCGAGTGGGAATCCTCGTCCAGGGGGAATAGGGCGAGAGCCGTTCATCCCAATAGGAATCGGGATTCCGTTGGGCGCTGGGAATCCTCGCAGCTGATTGAGAAGCGGTCCTGAGTGTGGCGGATACGTAGGTAGCTCATGGCCGATAGGAGCTCTAGAAACCAGGCCCAAGCCAGGCGGATGGGATGGCGAGAATCCGGGCGGATGGGATCGACCTAAAGATCCTAGAGGTGACAAGGGGGTGGACGGTTGGGGATGATGAAGCATAGGCTGCGGTCCATGGCCTTGCTTGGACGTAACGCTTGAGGCCCCGGACGACTGAGACGGCGCCATCGAACGAGGGGAGATGGAGACCTGTGATGGTTCGGTGCTAGCCGGCTGGGACCGAGGCGACGAGCTGTGGGAGCCCTGCTGGGACGTTTGCCGGGGCCTGGAAGGAGTGGGCGCCTGGGGGACTACTGGGGCAGTCGTTGAGAAGTGTGGCGACTGGAACTGGCCCGGGCCCAGCCCTTGGGGGTGGTTCACGTTTGCGGAGAGAGGCATCAGCCCGGGGTGCGAGGTGCGTTTGGCGTGCTGGGCGTCGCTGGCTGCGACGTTCCGAAGTTGCTCCTCCCGAACCTTGCGCTCTCGTTCCTCCTTGACCAGCTTCTCCCGCAGTTCGCGCTCCTCGCGTTCCTTTTGCCGTGCTTCCTCGCGCCGCTTCTTCTCTTGCTCCTTCTGCTCCCGCTGCTTGCGTTCCGCCTCAGCTTGTCGTTCACGTTCCTCGCGCAGTCGTCGTTGCTTTTCGGCCTCTTTGCGGGCACGTTCCGCTTCCTGGGCCTTCCGCTCCGCCTCGCGCTTCTTCCGTTGCTCTTCACGTTTCTTTCGCTGTTCCTCGAGCTTCTTCTCCTGCTCCGCCTTGGCAGCCGCCTCCTCCGCAGCCTTCTCGGCCTCTCTGCGTGCCTTTTCCTCCTCCTTGGCCAGCTTCTGCAGCCGCTTCCTCTCCTTGCGCTTCTCGGCCTCGCGAGCCTTCTTGGCGTTTCGTTGCTCATTCCGCGATTCCTCCTCCATCAGCTCCTCAATCAGTTTCTGCTGACGCTGTTCCGCGACCTTTTCTCGGTAGGCCGTCAGCACGCGCTGCTCGAACATGCGCGCGGCAAAGATCTGGAACATTCGCCGGCCCTCCTCCATGCGTTGCTCTTCCGTCATCGCATCCTGCAGGCAACTGTCAGCTTTCACGGCATCAATACCCAGCCAATGCCCGGAGCAGACCATTTCATCTTCCTCGTAATCTTCTTCTTCTTGACTATCGTAATCTTCATCCTCTTCGTCGTCATAGTCTTCATCATCCAGGGGCCCGTGATTGTGACCGCTATGGAGGGTTTGATGTGCTGCCGCGATGCCATACTGTGTGTCCTCTTCCCGCTGCATTCGACGCTCGGCCAGTTGTTCCATCATATCAATGAAATGCTTCCCATCGTTCTTCAGCAGATCGTCTGCAACCGTAAGGATCCCGTCTAGAAAAGGATCACAACCAAATCAGCATCAACCCAGACAGATCCCAAGCGCTCGTAATTGTCCTTACCTTTAACAGTCAGACTATTCCCAAAGGCGAAGAAATCCGCGCGAGCCGCACGGGTTTCTTCGTCTTCGTATTCGTCGTCGCTGTACGGTTCCTCGTCCTCGTCGTCCTCGTCGTACTCCTCCTCTTCCAAGTCTTCGTCATCCTCCGGCAGCTCATGGATCCGGCCCCGGGAAGGGTGGTATTGGCCTTGAGTGCGCGTATGTTGACCAGGCGACCGTAAGGGAGGGTGGTATAGCCGAGGGGGCGGGATCATTGGGGCTCCCTTTTCGAACGACCCTTGGTTGTTGTTGGCGTACTGTTCCAGCTCCTCGTAGTAAGCGTCGTAGAGCACTTCCAACTCCTCTTCGATGGCCGTCCGTTTCCTCCCGCACACGGTGCAGCTGCACGAGTGTTTCTGCTGCTCCTTCATCTTCTTCAGCACCGCGTCCTTCTCCACCTTGACCAGCTGTCGCCGTTCCTCCTCGCCCAACTCCAGCCAGAAGGTCTTAATGTTCTCGCGTTCTTCCTGCGTGGAGGTGTTCCAGATACTGCGGTCTTTGGTCGACTTCAGGATGGTGTGCGATCCGAGGTGCGGGGGTAGCGGCGGGGGGAGAGAATGCGACAGGGAGATCGATGGGGTCGACAGCGGGGTGGAACTTTCGTCGCCATGCGCCTGCGAGCCCGCCCGGCTTTTCTTGCCTTTCTTCTTCTTCGACTTCCGGGTTACTGTTGCCGCCGCCGCCGCCGCCGCCGCCGCGGGTTGCTGACCGTCACCATCTTGTCCGTTCACCGAGTCTCCGAGGGAATGCGACTGCGCCCGGTCGTGTTGGTGGTCGTGCTCGTCGTCCTCGTGGTAGACGTCGCCGTTCGGAGCCGGTTCGTCGATCTCATGTTCATCGGACAGCTGGCCATCTGGGTTGGTCGGACTGGAGCCGTTCTGCTCGAAGCCGTGTTCGTTGCCAAGCTGACGCTCCGCGGCCAGTCGGGCCGCCTGCTTCTGCCTGCGTTTCTGCTTTTTGCGATTTACTGACACGGGCTTCAAGTCTGCGGGGGAGAGTTGACGAGGGTCGGAGGGCGCATGGGCATCGCCATTCGCGGCGTGTGCAGGGATGGTCGTGGATGCCGACTCGGACATGGCGGGACCGGAACTCGATCGAAGCGGTTGCGGCGGTGCCATGGTGAGGTGGGTTGCTTAGGTTGTGTTCTGACGCCGACGGAGCACAGGAAGGGGGGAGAGGAGGCGTAGATTCAGGGTTTGGAATGGTTTCCCTAGCTAGTCACCATGCTGTTTCGACGATTCCCGGAGGCGGGGGGTAAAAAGTCAGCGAAAGGGTCCGCAAGCGCAGGAAGGCAGGAAACGGAGAAAGAGGAAGGGAGCACACGAAGGCTCACCGGAAAGTCGTCGGGCGATAGTTGACTAAAGAAAGAAGGTGATAGTAAGGCAGAGAATCGAGTAGAGCCCGGTTGGAGAGGAGTGTGTTGATGGACGCGACAGTTGGGAGGTGGAGAGAAGAGGCGCGCAAGGTGAATGGATTGGAGAATTGGAATTGGGTAGGCTCGGACAACGGACAACGACAAACGGGGAGCCAGGGCGGAGAGGGGTGGAAAGGTGGAAAGGTGGAAAGGTGGAAAGGACCCGGGCCGCACGAGCAGTCGTCAACTGGGAGGGGAAGGAAGCGCGCACCGGCGGTCGCGATACTAGGTAGGCGATTGAGAACAGACAGGAGTGAAAGCGGGGATCAGCAGGCGGAAAGTACGAAAAGTACGTCAGTACGTCAGTACATCAAGAGAGGAGAAGTAATAAGGTAAGTAGTCATGGAGGAGGAGGAGGAGTGAGGGCACATCGGCGATACGCGCAAGATTGAATTGATTGAATTGATTGATGTGGTCCCGGAACAAACGTTGGCCTCTGGATGGCTGCCCTGCCGCTGGATTAGCCGCCGCAAGCGAGTCTCGCTGCCTCGCCGCCTGGCCGCCTGGCAGCCTGACTCTTCTCCTGCCTATGTATAGCGTTTGAACAACCTACTTCCAACATCATATCATCCTGTTTTTCCGACTAAATTGACTCAGGCGAACCTGCGATCTCCCCCAAACAGGCTCTGTCTGGTCTCACAACTTCTGCCCACCACACAGACCGCCTGAATCTTACGCCCGCCAGCAGACCCGGTCTTAGCACCTTGCTTAAGCGGCTACTAGCTCGGCGTGTATTCGCGGGAAACATGCCGAGAAAGAGAGGGGTTGGTGCTGCTGGCAGTGGTTCTGTCAGCCAAGGCACATGAACAGGCTGCCATACACCCCTTTCCTCCCTCGGCGTGGGCTGACCATGCAGCATTTCAACCTAGCTCGCAGTTCCCCTGCCTTTGGGATGGTAGATTTGCCGACTTTACTTCAATTGACTTACAGTAGGACAGAGTTGTTCAAATCCTTTCATTCATCCGATGTGTCATCTACACTTGGTCCACACTAATACCCATTATATTATCTAACACGTGCTTTGGATTCAAAGTTCCCTGCAGTCAGAAAACTTCCAGTGGAAAACAAGCTAACCAAAGATCAAGTTTTTGATCTGCTGCATCATCCCTGTGTCTTCACAATGATCCCGCTCATACCCCACCGCAGCCCTAGCCCGGTCTTCTTCATCGAAAGCCTGAGCCGCCGTGAAGTCCATCTCAGTCGGCTGGACAAGCTTTGAACGATAGTAAATCTAGGAAGGATTAACAACCGCATTGTATGGTTGGCGATCGACTGGGAGGGCTTACCTTGTAACCAAAATAGTCCATGAAGAACAACGGCGCAGCAATGTACGTGGAAAACCAGGACTTGGCGGATCCCTTCTCACCAAAGGGGAAGCAGGCCAGATAGAACTCGCAGCCTGCAATGAAGAGAACAATCACCAGCGCGAAGTACTGCAGGTAGGGGGCTGCGGGCGCTCGGAAGGATAGCGACTGGGTGCTGATGCCCTGCGCCGCGAGGCCTCGTCGGAATTGGATGTGCGAGATGAAGATGCTGGACCATTGGAACAGGGTTGAGACTGACACCTGGACGATGTTAGTTCAAAGAAGTTGAAAACAAGCACGTTCATGGAGATGCAGGTTTCGCACCAATGATGAAAACCAACTGTATACCACAGCACCCGTATCGTTGCAGTTCAGGTAGGCTAAGCCTCCTCCGAGGGCGGTGCTGATGGCCAGTGATACATATGGTCGCCCGGCAGAGTCTTTCCGTCCGAACACGCTATGGATGATCTTCATGTCCGACAAAGCTGTCAGACTTCGGCTGGCGATATACGTGCTGGTGATCCCACAGCTGATCACCGTCAGAAAGATGAAGCCGTTGATGATATGAGCCAGCCACATCACACCTGCACGCTCGATGGCAATGACAAAGGGACTTCCGAGTGTGCCGCTGCCGTTGACCAGGTCCTCGTCATTGTACGGCACGCACATGCCCATGAGCCAGATGTTGACGACGAAGAAGGCGAACATGCGCCAGAAGACCGGATAGACGGTTTTCTTGATGGTCCGGCGAGGATCCCGTGCCTCGCCGGCAATCACAGCGATATGTTCTCCGCCGCCAAAGCTGAACAGGGCTTGCACAAAGGCCTTGGAAATCCCCTTGATCCCATTGTTGAGAGCACCGGGACTCCGCCAGTAGCGGAATTCAATCGCACCATGCGTGGCTGGAATCCCACCGGAGGTCATGATGATCATAAAGAAGATCATGACTATGATGGCGAGACATTTGACAAACGACATGACATACTCGACGTGGCCGTAGAGCCGAACCCCGAATGAGTTGGCCAAGGCAATAACGACCAGGAAAATCGTGATGTATGCTGCCAGGGGAACGACCTGGGTCTGCGGCCAAAACTCGAGCACGGACACTGCCGCGGTGATCTCAGCGGGGATACAGATCACCCACTATCCATGGTTAGGTGTATCGATGGTTATGCCCGTGGAGATGAAGGCTTACAGAGAACCAGAAGTTGATCCCCACTGCAAATCCAAACGCAGGCTCCACGTACTCGATGCATTGTCGGATAAATCCACCATGGACAGGTTTGTATGTTGTCATCTCTCCCACCGAGATATACTGCAGGTAAACGACCATCCTGTTGGCGGTGAGTGGTTAGGTCGTGAACGCGGCAACATCTTTTGTTGTGGACTTACGCAGTGATAGTATAGGCAATGGCAATACCACCCGGGCCCGCTACATTTGATGGTCAGGTCCGTAGGTCGTGCTCAGGGCTGGAGACCATCTCACCATACTTGAGGGCTGTGCCTGTACCGACCCATCTGACACATTATGAGACTTGTTTTCGTAGCACAATAGGAGGAAAATTCGACATACAAGCCAGTCCCAATGCCTGCCCCGAAGGTCATCATCATGATTTGGCGACGGCCCAGCGATCGATGATAGCCAACATCTTCGTTGGCTCCCAGGAGCTCTGTTGTGCCTTTCTCAAAGTCATCACTTTGCTCAAGATTAGCGATGATCTCCACAGTGTGTGGTTTCGCGGCCGTTTTTTTCGTCGTCATGGCTGTTGGCGTCTCGTTTGCTGCCGGTTTGATGAGAATGAGTCACTTGAAATGCCCTGCCACATCTTATATCTCCTGCTGTAGATAGCACCGTAGAGATACCATTGGTCGTTATGCACCCATATCTAATCAATTCGGCGTGAAGCCATATACAACAAGATAAGACTGGGACGATAGCTGAGTTGCAATCCACGGCGCAGACAGCCAGTCATAGGTCTTCGGATCTCACATCCTGGCTTCTCCTCACTTGGGTGCGTCAGGCCAAGTAGAGCAAGAGTGGGGTGCTGAGGAGTCCAAGACTAGTCACGACCACATTCGAGCATATAAGAGACGATATGAACTCTCATCTGGTCCCAGCCAAAGACCTTACGTCCCAACCAACAAGCATAATTCTCGGGTCTCGAAACATCACCATGTCTAGCAGTAAGAACGTGGTCTTCGACATCGTGGGCACTCTAGTGTCGTATGATGTCCTATTCGACGCGATCGACGAGCAGATGGGCGACCGACTCCGAGCGGAGGGCATCAAGCCGACGCTGCTGGGGTACACTTGGATCGAAGTGGCAGAGCGAGAATACACCTATCTTAGCATCAGTGGCCAGTATAAACCCTTTGCGACCTGCTTTGAGCTGCTGTTCTGGCGCATGCTGCACATGGCAGGCATCGCCGAGCCCCGAAGCTTCGCCACGGAGAAGGACCTCGAGTTCATCATGGAAAGATATGCCAAATTGGGACTGCGACCGGGCGCAGTAGAATGCATCACCAAACTGCGCGATGCCGGCTACACGGTTTGGGCCTTCACAGCTGGGGACCTGGCGAGAGTGGGGGGCTACTTCGCAGAGGCTGGTCTCGAATGGCCCGCAGAGAATCTGCTGTCCTGCGATACCCAGGGGATAGGAAAGCCTGATCTGCAAGCGTACCAGCCGCTCCTCAAGCAACTATCACAGAATGGACGGCCATGGTTCGCTGCCGGTCATATGTGGGACGTTTCGGCGGCTCGCTGTGCGGGGTGAGTGGTGCAGCATCCCAACCGGATTCCGAGGCTGCTAACACGTCTTGACAGTTACAAATCCGCTTATTGTTCTATTTGGGAGAGGGAGCCGATCACTGAGTTGTTTGGAGATATGGATGTCATGGCAGAGACGCTTCCCGAGATGGCTGATAAGATCATTGCAGCACAGTGACTTGAAGACGCTGTTGATTTCACGATAACAGTGTCGTGGTGGGTCAGTCATGTTGGAGACGCTGCATGTTTCGGCGAATTAAGAGTCACTCAAGCCGTACAAGAAGTTAAAGATAAGAATAGTAGATCCTTATCTCGACAGAGCCACGGCAGTTCCGGAGTGCTTGTTCGAGCGTGAAGTTAGCTATTATGGACAGATCTGCAAGGATTATTCCATGGGTCAGTGCAAAGCCTTGATCACTATTCATTGTCTCGTAGCGATATGACTTGTAAGTCAGGTGCTCTCGTAAATGGTGTAGGTTTCATTGTATCTTAGTCATGTCAGCATGCTCAGCAGAAAGATCCATGCACTGGAACACTCGGTAACTCAAGCGTATAGAATTGAATTGCGGGTAAGATCTCCAGGCTTGCTCCCTACCCCAGACACTGGCAATGCACTGTAAGAGCTAACCCCTTTGGGGCATTACCCTCCGCGGAACCCCCGCGGAGCACCATGCCCGCTTGTCTATAAAACCAGGCAACAGCCTCTCCTGGATTGCGTTCATTACATACCAAACAAGTCATCATATAATCATGCCTGTTGTCAAGAAGGTGAGTGATACTTCACACAGTGTTAGTGAGTGCTACTGACACATATCTGCCTAGGCCATAATCATCGGCGCGGGCCCGGCTGGACTTGCTGCTGCACTCAAATTACATCGCGAGAACAACATCCATGTTACAGTGTACGAGCTACGACCTGAGCCAACTACGATTGGTGGGGCCATAGGCATATTTGCCAACGGCTTGCGTCTACTTCATCGTTTGGGTCTACACGACGCCCTCCTTGCCCGCGGCTCTTCCGTCGACAGATTCCAACTGCAATCACTGCAACACGGCAGCATCGGCAGTACTGATATCTCAGCCTGGGCGGCAGAAAGGACCGGCTTTGGATATCTGCGCATTCTCCGGCGGGACCTACAGAGCGTGTTGTTGGCTGCCGTCCATGAGGAGCAGATTCCGGTCCATTTCGACATACGACTGACCTCGATCACGGAGGATGCATCCAGCGTGACAGTAACCTTCTCCGATGGCTCGACCGAGACAGCCGACATACTGATTGGATGTGATGGCATCCATTCCAGCGTGAGACGGTTGCACGTGGACCCGCCCATGAAGCCCGAATACTCCGGGATTGCGGGTAGCGGTTCGATTATCTCGACGGCTGGTCTACCGGAGAAGCTTAAATCGTCGGCCAACATCATCCCCACCACCGCGGGGTTTATGGCAACGTTTCCGTGTAGTGCGTCCGGGGACCAGCTGTTCTGGCTGTTTTCGCGGGAGACGCCCATTCCGTACTCTGAGTCCGGTAACGAGCGGGACGGGTGGGAAGAGCGACGTCAACAAGAGATGGAGATGTTCAAGGCCACAATCAGAGCAGTGTCGAAGCCAGCTCGAGGCGAATGGCAAGGGATCCTGACTGAGTTGATGGACCGCATGGAGTTTATTGGATTCTATCCGGTTTTCAGACTCCCGCTGGGTGGGAAATGGTATACATCTCGGACAGTCCTGCTTGGGGACGCAGCGCATGCAATGCAGCCTCACGCAGGGCAAGGAGTATCCATGGCATTGGAAGATGTATTCTTGCTCTCACGGGTGCTGCAAGAGCAGGACTGGAGCTTGGACGATGCGTTTGCCCGATACGAAGCCATTCGTCGACCGCGGGTCAACGAGATCTATCAACTGGCGGCCAAGAATGGGCAAGGCCGGAAAGCCATGAACCCGTGGGCGTTGTGGCTGAAAGAAAACGTTATGTGGGCTGGTCTGAGCCTGTATCGTATTCTGGGGTTGGAGTCGTGGGGCTTGGGCCAGAAACACCTCGTTTACGACGTTGATGCGGTGGAGCTCTGAGCGAGTAGTTGCAGGTCCGCAGTGGTGTGTTTTCTTCGGTATCCAATGAGTCATGGGCATGGAATTAGCGGGATTTGGATTGCTTGGTATCTCTCGTCTCATTGGAGTCGGTAGCAGCGTTGATTGTTAGTTGGCCAGTGATTTAAGCATATCGTATAAGTTGATTAAGTTGGGAAGTCCTGAGATTTGTAAGGAGGGATGCCGGGAAAGATGCGATGGTGCTGCGGTGTCCATGGAAACATCCAGCCCGCCGCCCTTTCCGGCGCCCATTAGGTAAATCAGTTACAGTCTGAAACTATGAAATGACAGGCCAGGCACCAAATTCGGGGTTGGTGGGCCGCAAGATGTCAAGTCAAGTCCAGAATGTCACGGTCCGCAGTTGACCATCATGGACGAGGAAGGAGGCATGCACAGGATTGAGATAGAGTTGTTTAGTTGGCTGCTTAGGGATGACGAGGGGATAAGTTGGAGATGATGATGACACTGTACTGTATAGGTAGACTACATACGGAGACACCGTACAGTACAGGGTTCGGAGTGAGGAGGATTGTCCGACAGGGGACAGTGGAGTCCACATGTCTCTGATCACGAACCGCCTCTCAAGCTCTCCCGAGCTGTTGTGGTCTTGATTGACGGATTCCCAGTTAGTTGTGTTGCTGCTGCTGCTGCTGCTGCTGCTGGTACTGGGATAAGCACCACGGAAATGTCCGTGTTTATTTTTTCTTTTCCTCTTTCTTTAGCACGGAGACATCGGTTCTCCCTCCCTAGCGACCAATAGAGTAACCTATAAATATCGAGCTGCACGATCATCCAATGGTCAATTGCGGAAGCCCCTGCTCTGGGCTCCTTTTTATTTTTTTATTTTTTTTTTGCATCCGGGCGGCAATGATAATAGTAGCCATGATTATCGCCCATTTCTGGCCTGCACTGTCTGAGACAAATCTCTAACCTTAGTAACAAACGGCCGTGCGGTGACGATTCTTCAGCTGTGCCATCCCACTAGGTCGATCTCCTCCTTCCATTCAGAGGTTTGATTACTATGGAGTATGAGAGGGGGGCAGGAGGAGGGGGCCCGGGGAGGGGCGTGGAGGGAGAAAGTGGTGCTGGTGCTTCGGCCGGGCTGGAATTTTCTTTTGAGGCATTCGATGGATTTCCACTTGACAAGAAGAGTGACTAGACTAGTAGCTGATGGGATAGTGGGAATCAATCAATGAATCAGTCCATCCATGATATATACTACCTCGTTTTCTCACCCGTGGGATACTTTCCTCAACCAGTCATAATTCGAGGTTTCTTCCGTGACCGCATTCGGGCCCGAGAAGGTGAGTTACTTGTGAGATTACATGGGATTACATGGGATTACAATCATTACAATCGTTTCTTACCCGTCAGCCTCATTTGGATGGGCGACCGCCTTCCAGAACCAATCTTGATATGTCTGTTTGATTGTCTGTCTTGTCTACTCCGTACTCTCTGTGCTTTGCTTTGCTTTTGCTCTTCCAGTTCACTGCTCCGATTGCTCTGTTGTCCTCCGTACCTATTCTCGCTCTTCTTACTTACTCTTACGTCCTCTCTCTCTTTTCTCCTTCTCCCTCGTTCCTCTTCCTCTCCTCTTCTATATCTTCCCTTCCCAGTATAATGACCTTTTCCTCTTCCTCCACCATTTTATCTCATACTTAGGGGGAGGGGACATTGACCAATCTGATTTCACTTTCTTTCCCCTCCCATCCACTGCATCTTACTTCCCCCCTCCCCAATCAATCTTGAACGAAACATTCGCCATCTTACACTCACACTTACACTTACACATCTGAACTACCGAAATTTAGTTCACGGCCTCCGACCACTCCGTCACTGCCTCCAGCTTGCTGCCTGCCTGGGGGGTTTTGTTCCGTTCCGGGTTCCCGCGCCAGGGCTCGTCAGCGCGCCCTCGCATTGATTTCCCGTTGCTCATCCCGTCCATTCCTCGCCTGCAACTCCGTTCGTCCAGGGGATCGACTTTAAAGATTCCCACTTTTTTTTTTTCTCTTTGGAAATCATGGCGCAACAACAACAACAAAATGACAATGTGATGCGAAGGTACGTGCGGCAGAGTCGCCTTTAATCTATTTCGGTCGTCCCTACTTGAACCTGCCTCCCCTCATCCCCTCTTCCTCTCTTCCCCCCTCTCACCTCCGCCCGAAACGGGTGGTGCCTGGAGATCCCCCGGGATCCGCCCATGTCCCATCCCCATTCTGCGGTGGCGGCCACCATGAAGTTACCACGCTGCACCCTGACATTTGAGGTTCGCCTGAGTTTCTAACAACTAGGACAGAAAGCTGGTGATTATCGGGGATGGTGCCTGTGGGAAAACCAGTTTGCTCAGCGTCTTCACGCTGGGCTACTTTCCAACGGTATGTTGTTGTCCCCCCCCCCCCCTCTTACACGGCGAACCTTTCAAAGGATGATGTCACTGACTGATTTGTCTCATGCAGCATTATGTATGTATTGTCTCTCCCCGTCGCTCTTTGTGTCTGCAACAATTTCCTGACCGGCGCATGATTCAACCTAGGTGCCAACGGTCTTCGAGAACTACGTAACAGATTGCCGCGTGGACGGTCGGTCGGTTCAATTGGCTCTGTGGGATACTGCTGGTCAGGAAGACTACGAACGGCTGCGTCCGCTGGCCTACTCAAAGGCGCATGTGATTCTGATCGGCTTTTCGGTGGATACGCCGGATTCGCTGGAGAACGTCAAACACAAGGTTCGTGGCCATGCTATTTTGGGGAGCAGAATCCTAAACGGGGCGCTGACAGGGCTACTACGGTGCAGTGGATCGAAGAGGCGAACGAACGATGTCCCGGCGTGCCCATCATCCTGGTCGGGTTGAAGAAGGATCTCCGAGAGGACCCCCTGGCGGTCGAGGAGATGCGCAAGAAGTCGCTGAAGTTCGTCACGTCCAAGGAAGGAAGCGACATCGGCACCCAGATCGGCGCCCGCAAGTACTTGGAGTGCTCCTCCTTGACGGGGGAGGGGGTCGACGACGTGTTCGAGGCCGCCACCCGGGCCGCTCTGCTGACGTTCGACAAGCGCAAGAGCTCCTGCTGCATTGTGCTATGATTTTCTTTCCCTTATAAAATAGGGATCTTTTTTCTCGTATTGTATGTTTGGGGGAAGGATGTCCTTGTTTCAGCGAACATATTGCATGCATGCCAGCCCGTCCGCACGACCGAGATTGATTCTTCGCTTTTGTGTGTTGTGTTGCATCTTTGTTGAGCCATTTTCCACCGTTCGGAGAGCCATGAGCATGGCATGTGCATATTGTGGGGGGGGATTGACTGGGGGTGAGAACCAAAAAGTGGACAGTATGTGAGAGAGAAAGTGTGTGGTGGGCTGTTGGTTGATCAACTTTGCATTTTCGGCGTTCGGGTGGCTTTATCTTTTGTTGTTGCAGTCTTGACCTCTGTTTCATACCCTTGGAGTCGACTGACATTACTTTCCTTGACGGGTTTACTCCGAGTCCATTCCTTTTGCGTGTCAGTGCGTGTCAGTGTGTCAGTGTGTCAGTGCTAGTGCAGTGTCCGTGCCTAGCGTTAAGCTATTTGATCTTCGAGGCAGTAAATACGAGTAGTTGTATGGATGTTTACCCTGCGAATGCAGACTACTGTACCCATGAAGTAAACAAGAGATACCAGATATGATAGAAGCAGGTACGTACTAATATACACGACAGAAGAACGACGATCTCACAACCAAAGCCAACCCAACCCCTCCCCACAAGCGAGGATAGATGTACTGTACTCTACACCGCCGAATCCACCCCCGGAAAGAACCTCCAATGCCCCCTTAAGATTTAATGGGATTTATTTTTCAAAGCCTTCCACTCATGATTCCACCCCTCCCGCGAGGGGCCCTCGGTCTGCAGGCGGGCGTACTCGATGGGGAACAAGTCCTTGAAGATGCCCGTCTTGATCATGCTCTTCCGGAACAGCTTGCCGCCGTCGCCGGCGCCGGTGCGCAGCTCCTCGCACGCGGCGCGCATCGCGTGCCACTGGCGCTCCAGCTCCAGCGTCTCGGCCCGCCGCCGCTGCGCCTGGTACAGGTGCCACGCGCGGTGGATCGTCCAGTGCCGCAGGAAGCGGGTGCGGCTGAAGCGGAGGGGGCGCGGGGTGAGGGGGTGGTGGAGGAAGTAGCGGATCATTGCTATCATCGTTGTTAGTATTTGGGGGAGGTGAAAGGAAGGGGGGGGGGATCCGGGGGTTCTCCCCGGATGGTATATTCTTTGCTCTGGATTGGGGGCGAGGTTGCTGGGGAGCTGAAAGGAAGGGGGGTCCGGGGGTTCTCCTCCGGGACGGGATATTGTGGTATTCTGGATTTTGAGGGGAGGGGTGTTTTTGCTGTGCTGGGCTGGGGATGTTTGGGAGTTTGAGGGGAGGATTGAGGTTGTGATTGTGCTTGTGAGGTATGGTGTATGGTGCATGGTGTGCGGTGGTCATTGGCGAACGGCAGGGGACGTACTGATTCGCTTGTCCCGCGCGGGACCGGCGTTCTTGCGCTTGGCCATTGCGCTCGTCGTCGAGAATTGTCTGCTGCTGTTGCTGTTGCTGTTGCTGCTGCTGCTACCATTGACCCGGCTGAGGGCGGCGGCGGCGGCGGCCGGGCGGGAGGCAGTCTGCGACAAGGGGATGCGGAAGACGTTCGCCAGCGAGGCGAGAACGGGGGAGAGTGCGGTGCGCATCTTGCGGGGCGTGGCGTGGCGGAGGCAGGGTGGTGCCGTGATACTTCGCCGCGATGTTGAGGGAGTGAAGGGCAGATTGTTTCGGGGAAAGAAAGTATCTCGCCCGGCGGAAAGTTTGGGGGTGCCGTGCGGTGCGGATCAGCCGCGCGCTTAGGTGGATGATTAAGCGCCCCGCCCGGGGGCTCTAGTTAGTTACCGTCGATGTATATGCACTGTAACTATGTGCAATAGACTGGGGAGGTATAACGAATTACAGTTTTAGGCATAATGTGACAGAGTTTCAATCGCATTTAAGTGCTAGATGGCTGATTGCTAAGTGCATCCTTGGAAAAATATGTGCCCGCCTTTTTGTCCAAAGAACGTAGTCGCAGAGTCGGAGAGTCGGAGTCGCAAACGAAACGAAAAAGTGTATCATGAATAATCATCCCATTCCCCAGAACAAAACGCCTCATGAAGTGCATATCCCAAGACAGTTGTGCGTGTGTGCGTGCGTACTAAGTGCTCAGTGCTAAGTGCTGTTGTTTGCCCTGCTGCTCGCCCGGAGATGCTTCTTGGATCGGTCGTAGTTGAGCACCTTGCGACGACGATGGGTCTGCGCCAACTTCCACCGGCAGTAGAGCACCAAGGCATCCTTGAGGAGCACAAACACACAGCCTCCCACGACGCTGCGGCCCCAGCGCGTCTGCAACAGGCCCGGTCGACCGGCCGTGGAAGGCGTTGTCCACGAGCTCGGCAGCACATGTTTGAGCAACCCTCCCATCGACGCGGAGATAGCCGGGAAAGCCAGCGCCCCGAGAATCAGATCGGCCAGGTTCGTCGTCTCATGAACTAAATCATTCCGCCGGCCCAGGCCCAGCCCCTGTCCTCCTGCGCCGCCAGCGTTGTTCTGCGCACCCTGTTGCTGCTGTCCATCACCACCTTGTCCACCGTTAAACTCAAACAGTCCCTGGGCCCCGTCCTCGTCCCCTCTCATGCCCACCTGCAACTCGAAGTCGATCTCCATCAGCACCCGCCCGTTATCATCATCATCATCGACCGGTTCCGCTTCGTCGGGGATCGGCTCCGGATGGTTCGGCGGCGCATTGTCATCGAGCTCGTTGACATCCGCCTGCCGCGGCTGCACCTCCATGATCCACTTCTTCTCCAGCTTCCCGAACATCCGGCTATACAGCAGCGAATACAGTCGCTTGACATACGGCAGCGCCGCGAAGGTCGCCGCCGGCGTGGGCGGCCAGATGTCCGTAGCGGCCGGCTCGATGACCGGCTGATGCGTGACCAGCAATAGAAAGGGGATCGCGGCGAGCAAACTCTCCGAGTACCGCGTGCGGGTCAGGACCAGACACATAGGGATCAGGGGCAGACCCAAATTCAGGCCGGCGTTCCACGAGCCATCGATCGACTCCTCCAGCAGATGCCGGGCCTCCTCGGTGCCGAACACAAAGTACATCGAGTAGACGCCGTGCACGCAGCAGCCCGCCCACACGGTGCCGGCCAGGGTGAATACCATGCCCGGGAGCACGAGCCGGCCGGCCACCCGCTCGCACAGCCGCACGAGATCCACGATGTAGCTGCGCGGCCGCGACACGACGATCTCCGTCTTGCACTGCGGGCAGACCATCTTCGCGCTGAAGCCATTGCGTTTGCGCGACCGCGGGTTCTCCATGTCCGCCAGCCAGTCGAGGAGGCAGGCTTCGTGCGCGGTCAGGGCGCACGGGCACGGCGAGCGCCACTCCGAGTTGAGCGGCGTGTCTTCGGTCTCGTCCGCGTAGCAGATCCAGCATTTGCGCGGTTCGTCGTCGGGCGTGGCGGGTGGTGATGATGATGACCGGTCGACCAGGGTGGACTTGTCCGCTGTCGGTGGTTCGGTCGTGACGGTCTCGGTGGTGGGGGACGATTGGCAGTTGAGGAGCACCGTTTCGTCGACGGCTCCGCTGTCGCCGGTGTTCGTACTGGTGTTGCTACTCGTATTTGTTGACTCGTTCGTCGTCGTCGTGCTTTCGGTCTGGTGGGTTGATGTCATACCAGCGTCGGAGAGTTGAACCCTGCCAGCGGCTGGAGAACCTGAAGCAGAGGCCATGGTGAGGTATCGGGACTATGTATGTGAAGTAGAGTGAAGATATGTGTACGTTAAGTAGATGAGCGCGGCATAGTGCGAAGTGTGGAAAAATAAACTGAAAGTCGGCGGTGGGGGAGGGGGGAAGAACTAAAGAATGGTGAAGACAAGAGGCGGGCAAGCAGCCAGCCCTATTAGCAAGAAAGAGGTAGACTACTGGCGGAGGACGGAGGGACTTCGGATAAGAACCGCGGCTGTGAAGATTGCCAAAAATGGACATGGCCCTCCCAACTGTCTGCACGTGACATGACTCCATGGCTTACTGGCCTAGAGCCCATTACTTCTCTCGATTTTATCTTCACCCCGAAACAAACTCTTTTTCAATGCCTCCATGGTATTTCCAAGTCATAAAGATTACAGCAGCAAAAGGATTATATACAAGAGAGGTCCCAAAAGAACTAAACGAGGCAACTTTTTCTGGCAAACCATAATGCGATTGAGAACATGCCCAGAAAAGAAAAGGATGACTTTGGCGGTGATCGAGCCACGCAGAGGAGCAGCTGCACTCCCCGCAGAATACTCGATCGCGCCCAGTGAACGATGCTGCTTTACTGTCGTTCACCGTCCCCGGCTCCAAGCGAGTCGGGTGATCAGTGTCGGGTGGGCGCAGAAAAGCACCCGCGAGCGTTTTTAGAACCCGCCAGAAACGCCGTGGATATCAACAGATCATGGGTCGAGGGCACTTTTGCAAGAAGAAAACTAAGATCGTCGTAACGCTTCGCTGAATCAGCTCCGTCGCTTACATGGGAGCACCACGCTTGCGCATGAGAGCCTTCCGGTCCTTCTCCTTGGCTGCAAAGTCATAAATATCAGCATTTGTAGTCACATTCATCGGGAAAAGATGGCATACCTTCGTCGTAAACAAGGAACTCGTGCAGAGCACAGCCGGCCGGCACCATAGGCAGGACAGGCACCTTGCGGTCAGTGATCACCTCCAGGAGAGCGGGGCCATCGTGCTCAATCAGCCACTTGAGCTTGGCCTCGACCTCAGAGGGCTTGGAGCACCGCTGAGCGGCAACACCCATAGCCTCGGCCAAGGGGACGAAGTTAGGGTTCTTCTGGTGGGTGTGGGAGTAGCGGTCCTCGTAGAACAGGTTCTGCCACTGCGTAACCATACCCTGCTCATCATTGTTCAGGAGCAGGACCTTGACACCGATGTTGAACTGGTTGGCAGTGGACAGCTCAGTCAGGGTCATGTTGAAGGAAGCATCACCGTCAATGTCAACGACGAGAGCGTCGGGGCGAGCGACCTTAGCACCGATAGCGGCGGGAAGACCGTAGCCCATGGTACCGAGACCACCAGAGGTGATCATGGTACGAGGCTGGCGCCAGCGGAAGTGCTGAGCAGCCCACATCTGATGCTGACCCACACCGGTCGTGATGACAGTCTTATCCTTCATGTGAGCAGTAAGGTCACTGAGCTTCTCAATCACAGCCTGGGGCTTGATCGGGCCCTCCTCGGTCTGCTTCTCATACAGGGAGAAGGGGAACCGAGCCTTCCAATCGTTGATCTGCTCGAACCACTCCTTGCGCTCGGGCACAGCTTCGATCTGGGGAAGGAGGAGGCGGATGTTGTCCGCACAGTCACCCTCAACAGCTTCGTTGGCCTGAACCACCTTGTTGATGTTCTTGGGCATGATTTCGAAGTGCACGATACCACCGCGGTTCTCAGCGGCGGCCAGCTTGGCTTGAGGAGCGAACTTTGAAATGTTACCAGTGACACGGTCATCGAAACGAGCACCAATGGCGATGATCAAATCAGCCTCCTGCATGGCCATGTTGGCATAAGCCGAACCGTGCATACCCAGCATGTGCAGGGCCTTGGGGTCCAGTTCGTCGAATCCACCCAGACCCTGGAGAGTAGTAGTGACAGGAATGCAAGCCTTGTCAGCCAGCTCCTTCAGAACCTCCGGGCCATCAGGGCGAGCGAGCAGACCCTGACCAACGTACAGGACGGGCTTCTTGGCCATGTTGACCAGGCGGGCGACGCGACCAATAGTGCCCTTGAGCTGCTGCATGCTCACTTCGCGGGCAGCCACGCTGGCAGCGCTGGGCAGAGCCGGAAGGGTGCTGTTCATGGGAATAGACTTGCGGAGGATGCCGGCGGTGATATCCTTGGGCAGATCAACGAGGACAGGTCCGGGGCGGCCACTGGTGGCGATTTCGAAGGCTTCCTGGATACGGCGAGGGAGTTCGGCAACAGACTTGACCATCACGTTCCACTTGGTGCAAGCGCGGGAGATTCCGATCACGTCGGCTTCCTGGAAGGAGTCGGTTCCGATCAGGCTAGTCGGGACCTGACCACAGAAGACAACCATGGGAGTTCCGTCCGAAAGAGCGTCCTGCATCGGGGTAATCACGTTGGTGGCACCGGGACCGGAAGTAACGAGGACGACACCGGGCTTGCCAGAGGCACGGGCATAGCCCTCGGCCATGTGACCAGCGCCCTGCTCATGTTTGGGGAGGATGAAATCGAAGTGCTTGGAGTTGTAGATGGCATCGAAAACGGGGAGAATGGCACCTCCAGGGTAGCCGACTGTCGACAGTGGGTCAATCCTGATACCTTCACCGAGAAGGGGGAAGAAGGCATGACTCACAGACGTGCTTGACGCCAAGACGCAGCATCATCTCGTGGAAAATCTCACCACCGCTGAGACCGACGAAACTGTGTGGGCACAAAGGGCCCGGTCAGCGCCATGATCGCAGTGAAGGGGGAACGGTGGAAATAACGTACGAGTCGTCCAGCTCGGGAACCTGGCGGTTTTGGAGTGGCGAGACTTCATTGCGGTGAGGTTCTTGGTTGAACGCAGGGCTGGGGATAGGTCTCGAACTCCTGCGCAATTGAGGACCAAATTAGTATTGCGAATGGACTGGTAGCAGAAACCCCGATTGCGACTGGGGGGGGATAGGGGGGAGCAACACATACGAGGCCGTGGCGGCAGCAGTGCTCTGGGATC